AATTTCAATATCACTTTGTAACAAAGTGTCTTGTTCTGTAAGGTCTATAACTATACAATAGTATCATGAGCTGTCATCACTCATTCATTAGTATTCAATGTTGATTGACATTAGAGAACAAGAAGCTTTTCTATCGGTGTCAGTCGTTTGATAAAGGCAGTCTACTATGTTATTCTATAAATGTCATAATCAAATAGTTTATGATGTTAATAGACAAGATACACTGTATAGACATTAACGTAATAAAAATCTATGTTATGTTTGTTAGTTTTTGGAAGTAATTATAATTCTAAAAACTTTTTGAATGCATTACATATCATATTGAGTTTATCTTGAAATATTTATTTATACAGATAATAAATTTCTTAAAATTATCTTCCATGTGTTCGATTTCCCAAGATTATCATTTTTTGTAATTTTCTTTTTATTGTTTTTTTTGTTAAACATTGAATGATATCTAATTCTTGAAGTATTTTTTTTTTACGGAAAAAAAAGAAAGTCTAATGGGATCAAATCTCAAGATTATTATCTTGTATTGTTTCGTTTTTTTTTTGCCTTGATGATACATTTGAACTTTAAATTAATTAATATTCTATTTTATACAATAAGATAATTGAAATCTAAATGAAATTAAACAAAGATTAATTTATAAAATAGAGGTCAATCTCCGGCTGATGCGGAAGTCAATTATCTTCGTGTTGTTAGTTCATTAGATATGTATGGTGTAGAATTACACAAAGCATCTGTTAAAGTACGTAGATATTTAATGTTAAAATATTTATTTAGTTGATCGATTAATTTAATTAGGTATCGAATATAAATGATAATGTAAATAATTCAATTGTTGAATTATATGTTGGTGTTTGTGCTATTGGTATATCTGTTTTTCAAAATTCAACTAAATTAAATACATTTCCTTGGTAATATAAAAAAAACAAAAACACAAAATAAGTTATTAAAAGATAATTTTGTTTTTTTAAATTAGGGATCGAATTACAAAAATATCTTTCAAACGTCGAACATTCTATATTCAACTTGTTAAAAGTCTTGTAAGTATAGATTTTATAAATATAAATTCAATAAGTTAGAAAATATCAATTGCAGACTGAAGATGAATTACCATCGCATATATATATTATGGTAAAAAAAAAGTGCTATTCTATAATAAGCATGTTATTGCATGTCTTTTGTTGTTGTGATTAATTTACAGAACATAAAAATTTATTTTATTTTTTTTT